TATAGGTCACTGCACTTTCTAAACCATATAAATATCAGATTAACTTGGGATTCGAGGAGACCTAAAATTAGGATCTTATCCAAGAACCACATAGTTCAGTTGTTTTTTTTTCTAAATTTGCAAGGCAAAAATGTAGAGCCAAAATGCAAAACTATGTAGACTCCTCAAAAAAAAATTATTTTTTGCAAATGAGCTTAGCAAGTTTAAATGAAGTCATTTATGTCATTGTGTGCATTTTTACTTAATATATGTGAAGCAATCAATCAATAATCAATGAGCTAACCAGTTAATAAATGATCATTAGGTGCTGAGTACCTTCCATGTATGGACCCTTACTTGTTATCCTGAAAATTAAGTAGAACAAGCCAAAATGGTCCAGTTATTGACCATTTAGTTGGAAGATAAAACTGATACACATTTGGCAATATTTTGTAGAGCTGAAACCTGGTCTGAGCATTCATTGGAAAGAGTAGAATTTGAGGGAAGAAAGTTCCATTGTAAAGAACGGAAACAATTGGATTTTATAGTAAGAGAGGGATAATATATCTCAGGAACAATAAGGACATCCAGCAATGAATATTTTTGGTCAGAGATGAGAAATACTTGGATGGGCAGGAAAAAAAACTAGTTGTGGAGCATGTTTAGCCTTAGGTATGGAAGTTGACTTTGATGTGGGAGACACCAGAGACTTCCCTTCTTGTTCTGGTCGGTTGCAGGAGTGACGTGAGAGGTGGCGGACTAGGGAGCCCAGGGAAGCAGGACGCAGGCCCCGAGGCTGCGGAGATCCCGCTGAGAGGCGGGCGGTGGTGAGTCAGCACCGGCTGTCACAGGGAGAGAAAGATGCCCGGTGCACCCCGGAGGGAGGGTTCACACAGCGCGGTGACTGGGCTGGCTGATGATTTCGCAGACATCTCTCTTTAAGAAAAATAAAATGCAGCGTTTAGTCATGATTTTGACCTTCCAACCTTTCTGTTCCTTGCTTTCTCAATAGATGGCCCTTTTTTTCTGCTTTTCATATATCTTCCTTGCCCAGAGAAACCTTCATAAATATTTGCCCCAAAAGTGAATCAAGGAAATAGCTGTCAAGTATGCATCCCCATCAAAAACATCTAGCACAATGCAAGACGTCACCTTGCTTTGCACCTTTGCCTTAATCCAACTGTTTGTCCACCGTGGATCCTCTCCCTCCATCCTTATTAAATCTGCTTGTTCTTTCAGTCTCATCAAAAATGCCACTTCGCTTTGATTCTTGATTCATCCCAGCTAAAGGCATTTGGACCCTTCTCTTGCTACTAATCACCGGCCACAGCCCACCTTCTGTTGTCACACTTGCACGTCAGCCGCTCAATCGTGGCCTCCTGGAGGACGGAGGACGGCGCTCACGCCTTGCTGTGTGCTCCCTGTGTGGTCTAGTGCAGCGTTCTGCAGAGAGTAGGTGACGTATAATCTGCTGTTACGTGACGGTGAATTATTTGTGTCCTGGTGTGGGCACACGGCATTCTCACCGGGGCCATGACTGCAGTCTCCTAACTCACCCTCCCGCCTCCACTTCATCCTTCGCGTTGCTGCCAAGGACGTTGTTGCGCATTTTCGTTGAGATTGGTGTCCCGCTGCCTCAGACTGGAACCCCGACTGTTAGTGGTCAGGGCCCTCTGTCACCAGGTGCTGGCCTGTGCCCATCCGGGCCCTTCTCCCCCGCTGTCCTCTGTAGGCCGGTCACACTGGACCATGGGCCCAAGGTGGTCAACACCAGGTCTTTGTTTAATGCTCTTCCTTGGGCTGGAATGTACTTCTTACCACTGCTGGTGGCTCCTCTTGTCCTCCTTCAGGTCCCAGGACACGCTCTTCTGGGTGGTTGTCACCTCAGGTAGCTCCGAGCTGCTCCTCCACTGGGATGCCAACAAGGAGATACAGTCCATCTCCTTGCCACTGACAGAAACATGGAAAGTGGTTTTCTTTCTTTCTTTTGTTTTAAGATTTTATTTATTTATTTTTTTAGAGAGGGAAGGGAGGGAGAAAGAGAGAGAGAAAGAAACATCAATGTGTGGTTGCTGGGGGCCGTGGCCTGCAACCCAGGCATGTGCCCTGACTGGGAATTGAACCTGCGACACTTTGGTTTGCAGCCCGTACTCAATCCACTGAGCTACGCCAGCCAGGGCTAGAAAGTGGTTTTCTAAAGCCCTGGAAACCCAGACCCTGGGAATCCACGTACATGTCAAAGTTCACCATTTAACAGTGGCGACACTGTAAAGTCAGACTGACTCCTTCTTTGCCTGCAGTTTCGGGCTAACACAGCACGACAGGGTCGGAACCAGGAGAGTGGCCGGCACAGGGCGGGCACTCCCGAGACTCTCCCCTGGGTGGATGCACCTTGCTCCCCAAGAACACCTCTCATGATGGAGACAAGTTCTCTTCACTCTCCGTCCCCGCAGCGGGAGAACCATCCTGTTGTGTTAAGACACACAAATCAACCAACCCTCTACCAAAGGCCTGTCTCCCGGGGAATTTGGGGTGATCACGTTCAGCCGCCCACGGACACTCACTGCTGCCCTGCGCTCCGATGGCAGCGGGGTGGTATGAAATCCCGGTATTTTGAAATGCTCCTGGGCTTACAGCATACGAAAAAGGAAATACTATCAGAACGAAAGGACTGTGGATCTCTGAGAAACTGGAACATCAAGTAATATTTATTTGTGGAGGTATGCAGTTTCTAATCTTGAATCTATTTCAGTTTGTTCCACTGGAGGACATTGGAAAATACCACCTGAATTAAGCCTGTGATTTAGCAGCCTTGAAAAAGTCAGAAATTCTGGTTTTGTTTTGTTTTTTGTGACCGTAATCTGGCTTCTCCTATTAAAGGTCAAAAGTTACAGAGCATATGCCTAGTAAGAGGTATTTTTTTGCCAAAGGGAAAAGCTCTGCAGATATTTTTGCGTGTTGGTGCCAGTGGGGCTTTCGACAGCTTGTCCTGTTTCCTGTGTATCGGCAGACACTTCTTGTTTCACCAACACTTGTTTGTCTGATCTTTGAATACGTATTCATCCATCCAACAATTAATTGTGCAGGCTCGGTGCTGAGGGGTGGGAGTCAGCAGCACGCAGAGAAAGACCGCCTTCAGATACTGGCATCGACAAGCTAGTGAGGGAAGACCCAGCATTATCAAACAACCCTACTGATCAACAAGAGCTCTAGCTCGAGCTCCAAAGGAGAGGACCTGGTGGGTAGGAGGGTGTCTCCGAGGGGATCTGACGCAGGTGAGAAGGTCAGGGAGGGCCTCCCTGAGGAAGTGACAGGTGCAGTGATACATGAATGATGAGTAAGAGCTAAAGTAGCATTCTGTACCCAGGGACTGTGACGTGCACAGGCCCCGTGAAACCAGTCGGCTTGGTACCTGCAAGGGCTTGGAGGCAGGCCAGTGTGGCTAGCAGAGGGAGCTGGGGACAGGGTTGGGACAGAGGGAGGGGTCAAGCCGTGTGGGAGTCGGACCCTGTTAGGGATAGTGCCTTCCTTCTAATTGTCTGGGAAACCTGACCAGGCTTTAGGAGCAGCAGGGGACAGGAGCAGCTTTGTGTCTCGAAAGGATCCCTAGAGCTGAAGAGCAGAGGGCATGTTGTGGGGGGGGATTAGCGAGGGGAGGGGACCCGAGACCACTGGAGCCACCAGCACATCAGGCGGCAGCGCCTGTGACCAGGGCGACGACAGAGAGCCGGCTGGAGGCTGGAAGTAAAGGACACAGGGCGGGGTGACAGCGGGGTACACGGCATGACCCCTGGGTCTCTCTGTTGGCCAGAACCTTTCCAAATTAAGGCTTGTGTGGGCCTGACATATTTTTCTCCAAAGAAATATGTCTTTCGATGACCCTGCCACTATTTATGGAGCGCCTACTATATATTGTTCTGGCTGCTGGGGACGCGGGAATGAACAAGACGCCCGTGCCTGTCGGTGCCAGAGTCTAATTAAGGTGAGAGTTAATAAAGGCACAGTGAACACGGTATTTAAACACGGCAGGTCCATTTTTCTTATGGCGAGTGAGGATTTTTTTTTTCTAATGTCGCCGTATCCCTCCAGGACCCAGGGGGATAGGCAGGGACGGGTGGGTTGAGGACACAGGGAAGGCGAGGACTCCAGGGTCACAAGGCTGACGTGCCATTACCTGGGCTCAGGTTTCCAAATCCAAGATGAGGACTCCCCTTCTCTTTCACTTTGTTTTCCCCTCCCTTTTGTTTTTTGCCTTGCTTTCCCCCCTCCCTCTGCTTTTTAAAAGAACCGTAATCAAGAAGGCTGAAAAAACAATGTGCTGGGGAAGAGTATTCCCTTTCTCACTAGCCAGTTCAAAAAACAGATCCAAGGCTTCCCTCTCCCAACTAGGAAAAAGGACATTTCCAGATTAAGTCTAAGAAACAAGTGTGCTGCTTTTGCCTCCATCCTTAAAGGAGCGTGAGCAGATTCTCTCTTGGCCCAGAGGGGGCGGGGCAGTCAGGAAAACCCTGGTTTTGCACGGATGCGTCGCAGAGGGGAGTAGTTTCTGGTGTGTGTTTTGGAAGGTCATGCCGGCGCCCTGTGGGCAAACCCGGAGTCCAGGGAGACCAGAGGGGCCAGCCCACAGTCACCTTGCTTAGCCTTTCATTTGAGAAGCTTAGGTATGTGAGTTTGGTCCTGTGTCTCTATTACTCTATTTTTGTTTTCACGTTTGGGTGGTCTTTCACAGAAACACACCAAGAGCTTTTGGTCAATGTTCTGTTTTCATGAATACCAAGTTCGATTTTTGCAAGACTGTTTTGGAAAGCTTGATCCCAGGGTGCCTCTGACGATGTAATCATACTTCCTGACTTGCAAAAGCATTGCGGAAACAGGACCACGTTTTCCCCAAACTGTCCTTTCTCGGCTCTGAGGATCATGACCCCTTCGTTACCAGAAAGGAGATGCGTGTGCCCTGGGGCCGCCATGTTTCCAGCGACCAAACAAAACCCGGCTGCACGTGGGCCCAGCACTCAGTGACATCACTTATCAAAATAAATTTATTAAAAGTACGCAAAGACCACTTCAAAGTTTAGCTGCCTTCAGGACAGTTTTTGGCACTCATAATGACACCGTCCTCTCTGCACAACAGCACTCACTCAGTGACACACCACTTAACAATTAAAACACAGACCATTTCAGTTTTAGCGTTACAACACAATGGGATCAATGCTCTGTAGTCATAAGAACTTTGATATGCTTGCACGTAGTAAACATTTTACTGTTACTTAGTACTGAAACGAACTAAAACTAAAACTAGAACCACTGCATGGTAGCATGGACTGGTTTCGGGAAAGATATACAGCCAGCTAGCCGAGGCCACACAGTCCCAGAGCTATTGACTTTAAAAATGCCTTTGGACCAACAGTTCGCCATCGTCTCTCTCAGCCTCGAGCTGCTGCTTTTCCGGCGGGACACACTCCGCAGCCAGACCGCCCTCTCCCTGCGCTCTGCACAGTCACCGAGGCCACCGCGGCCCAGGCTGCTCCTAGGTGTCCGCCAGCCTCCCGGTCACTGCCCAGCTTTGAGCCAACAGTTCTGAGGGACATCTCCCGAACACCTGGGCTGCATTTCAAGGTCAGTCTCCAGGGGCAGGCCACAGCCTTCCCCCTTAGGAACAGAACGAAAGGTCCACCACCGCTGGGTTCCCGTTGTCAGCTCATGTGGTGTGGGGCTCTGCGGAGATCTGCGGCCGTTTACACAAGTCCTGGTAGAAAGCCGACTCCAGGAAGCGGGGGTAGGAGTTGTTCTCCATCAGGCTGTAGACCCTTTTCTGGGCCGTCGCGAAGCAGCCACTTGTGGCCTCTTGGATGTTCTGGGCAATTAGGGTTTTGGTTTGAAAGTCTATGTTTATCTGAAATGAAACAAACAAAAAAACGTGGTTTATTCCATATTCGGCATTAGAGATTTAAATCTATTTATTTAATATTTGAAAACCAGAACCAAAAACTGTAATGTGTGATTAGTTTTATCGGCCAAGTCATGGAAGAAGCTTAAGTTATTTAAAAGCTAGTATTAGAAAATATTCCTGCCCCTTCCCCATCACTCCTTTTAATCAGACTCTTCTTTAATTCCCTCATTTCACTTTGGTGCTAAGAATGTTCAAAAGGTGCTAAAATAGGGATCTTTTTCTCCCCCCTCACCTCTTTTGGAGCCTCTTTCTCGATGAAGTCAGTATATATTTTCTTTGCTTTTGAGGACAGCTTTTGGGGTGACTTGGTTTTCTTGAAGTCTTCACAGGCCAGCCAGAATTCAATATTTTCTTCGCAGAATTCAGATTTTAGAAAAGCCCTGAACGCAGCAAGGCCATCTGAAAGGAAAGCATTCAGACTGTGAATTCAATGAACAAATAGTCCCCTCTATTTTTTTCTAGAACTCTCGATTCTTTGCACCTATATTTTATTATTTCTAGATTAGAGCAGTATCCTACATTTCACTCTAATTTGTAATCCTCAAAATCTAGCTTTTTAAAAACTAAGTCGCCAGTAGGCAAACTGCTTAAGCTGGCACACTGCTCCGAAGATATAAATACTTAACTCTGCTTTCAATGCAAATTATTTATTGGGGGCCCTAAATTCTCTGGGAATTAAGCCTCTTGAAAACACTGTATGCAGCAGAAAAGCTGAGTCAACCTTATCAAAGAGCGACTGCCACTACACATTTTTTAGGTTAATTTTTCATCCCCACCTGGAATGAATAAACCATATATTTCCATGTGTAACAACTGCTGGGAAATAAAGGAGAAAAATAGGCCTTATATTACAGTGACTGTAAAGTCGAACTGCGTCAGGCAGGCTGCCCTTCTGCTGTGTGGACGCCTCTCCAGACCCTTGCGATGCTCGAAAGGGACCCAGTTCAAGAGGTGAACTTACATTTGCTGGCTAGCAGCTCATCGAATGCTTCGGACCACAGCTGTGCTTCCTCAGGAGAAGGCCTGCAAGAGAAGTCCCGTGTGTTGGTTTATGCGCTTCAGGAGTCCGCTTCCCCTTCCCAGCCCGGCAGCTAGCCGCTCATGTTTGCAAGAGCGAGATTTTCAGTTTACCTGATGAAGGTCTGCTGTTTGTTCTTCTTGCCAGTTTTGGGCTTCCCAGGAGAGGAGGAATGTTGCAAGAAGTAGCTCAAACGGGTCTTCCAATCTTTTAACCTAAAAAGAAAACAAAATTAAGATTCACTAAGTGGCAATAGTTGAAATTGCTACTGCAGCAGATGGCATTTACCCAAGTCGCCCAGGTAATACGGACAAATTCAAATAAGAGAAAACAAGAACTCTTCAAGTCAGTCTTACTCATTTAATCCCTGCACTTATGTGTTGAACCAGTTTGTTCTATTCATCTGAACATAACTACTAGTTTTATATCTAAGGGAAAGACTACGAATATTACTAGGACATCACAAGGAATTTAGTTTGCATAGTTCAAGAGGCAGATGGCATTTCTCACTTGAAAAAGGCAGCCGTTTTTCTGCAATGTTAATTACTATCCAGAAACATTCCACATTTGAACTGACAGAGGAACTGGCTTGAGCCAGTGATGCTTATTGTCCCTTCTAGCCCCAGAGAAGAAGGTTCTGGACCGTCCAGAGCTGTGTGCAAAGAGGGTGTGTGCATCCCCCATGCACCCCCGGCAACAACACTCATTTTAAGCAGATGATGAACTAAATTACAAAATTAAATGGATGGAAACAAATATATCCAGAACCAGCAAAAACATCTCCATCCCTGCAGCTGTGTATGTAAGCTCATCAGAACACAAAAGGCAGCGTACGAATAAAGGGGACGCGCTGAGACGCAGGGAGACAAAAAGCCAACATCACTCTACCACCGCCTCGGTATCAAGAATTTTCTTCAGTTCCCTAACTCTTCCTCACGGTCCTTCGCTCACGCAACAGAACACAGACCACACGGCTTTGACCTTACTTAGCTAGTTAATCCTTTCCACATTATTTTTTCCTGCAGAGGCGCAGGAAAAATACTTTTTCAGTGTCAAAGCCGAGCCCAAGGCGCCGCGTTTGCAGCAAAGCCGGAGAGCGAGTTCCGCGCTGGGGCGGGGAGAGACAAAGGCCGTACTTACAGGGTCCGCTTCATGTTCTCCCGCTTCTCCTCGCTCTTGGGGACGTTGCCTGCGCTCGTGTCCATGGAACCGCAGTCGTGCTGGACAGCCAGGAACATGGCACTTTGCATTATCGTCTCGCTGCCGGGCTGCCGCTCTGTGTGGCGGGGAGCGCGCAGCCCCATTTATAACAGGCGGAGGCGCGGGGGCGGGGCTCACGACTCTCGTCTCGCCTCCAGGGGGCGCGGATTGGCCGGCTGCGGAGGGGCCGGGGGCGGGGTCGGCTCCGGCCCGCCGCGGTCACGGTCGCCCCGCAGGGTCTGGAAGCGAGGGCACTGCTGACGTCTGCGGCCCGGGAGTCGTGCGCACTGGGGCGGAACGCGGCGGCCGGCCGCGGCCGGTGTGGGAGCAGACCGAGCCTTGGCCTCGGTGTGGCGGCCGGGCTGCACGGAGGGCTGTGCCCGCGAGGTTGCCTGCCGGCCGGCCGGACGGGGGCGCAAGTCATCCCTTCCCCGCCCCCGCGTGCCATCTCGGACCCCAGAGGGAGTGTCGGTTCCCCGCGGGGAAAGGCCGCTCGCTGCCAACTCCAGCGCAATCGCTTTCTTTCGAATTAAGATTGCCCCGTCCCCAGGGAAAACCCCAGCTGTTTTTCTGCGACTCCGTTTAATTAGGGGAGGGACACAATGAACAGGAGGCACAGTGACAGTCCAGAGGGAGGTGGTGTGACCTGCTCTGTAGGTTGAAGAATTTGCATTCACTGTGGGGAATGAACAGGAAAAAGAGACTTAATCAGACAGTGCTCTAACTGGATGTGCATTTTTGGTCACCGGTGGCCACGTGACCGGGTCTGCGCCCGGGGGCTCAGGCTGATTTCTCAGCAATCCTTGGCTGCCTCTCTTCCCAGAGCGGAAACCAGAGAAATCACGGACCTGACGGCCGAGGGAGAGGAGGGAGAGGAAGGCGCCGAGACCTCGTGCTGCAGCGCGCCAGAATCTGTCTAGTTTAAGATTAGCGCAAGGATGCAGGAGTTCCTCATGACTCATTCCTGGCTGACTTGGAATGTACCAGAACACCTAATAACTGGCAAAAGGGGAGGGGTGGGGGAGAGAAGGAGTTAACAATTTCCTTGATTAAGTTTGATATGATAATTGTTCAAAAGTCATCTCAGCTGTAGCAGCCTTTAAATGGTTTTATTGGTAAGACCGAATAGATAACCTCAACTACAAAATGCTTTGATTTCAGGTAGTGGTATTGGATCCGATCAGTGGAATATTCAAGTGGTTTTTCCATCAAGCATCTAAGCAGACAATAAGATTAACAACTAGGTATTGCTAGGATGCAAGTATTCTCCCCACTTTGCATGAGAACGGTAAAAAGAAAATGGGAATTAATTTAGCATATTCTTATGGTGCATTGCCAGTAGTTGCAGCTCCAAGTTTGACTTGGAGGTTAAAATCTGCAATTATTCCTGAAGAGAAAAGCCATGCAATTTATTATGGAAAGGAAAATAATTTCGATTTTAATAACAGATATTTTAAAACGTCGTTGTGAAATGTAAGAACGTCATTTTTTGTCAAGCACTTGCTCTTCATCTCGAAAAGAACATTGCTTAATACTTCCTACATCCACTTTCACTTTCTGATGATTCACTACCTAATTTATTAAATATGTGTAATATGCAGGCACTTGCTTTTTCTCGCCAGTCAGAACCTCAATATATTTTACACTTAGAACACGGGATGGTGGAACTTTCTCAGAGTGGAAAGGCCAGGAGTTCTGACAAAGAGGCATGAGAGAGTGAGCTGGATTCGTGTCAGGGCTCTGATTAGAGTCTCCACTTAAACACCAGGGGCTCAGAAATGCTGGGACAGTCCCACCATACCTCCTTGTGTCCCAGTTTCTCATCTCTGTGAAGAGAAATGTGTCTTTCTTGCTAGTCTCATTGTGTATCATATGACTCTCATGTGAAAGGCCTATGCAACTCCTAAGTACTGTGCAAAAACTCGTTACTAATTTGTAGGTGTGAAAACGGAAATATCTGAAGCATAGCTACTTAAGTAGAAACATCATTAAAGGATTAACTCAGAGTTAATTAGGTTATAAATGTGTAAGGACTATTAAGGTAGCAAGAGAATTTTAGAGTATCAAGCTTATAGATAGCAACTTAACAGATCCTTAATATATACTCCTGGAGAATAAGCAAATAAGGAAAATAAGGAAACTACTTGACACTGAAACTTTTTAAACTTTCAGAATTTCAAGCTAGAAAAGATCAATCATCTCAATGTATTCTCAAAAAGTTGTCATCATACTGTTCTGTATAGACAGGCAGGCATGTTTAAAGTGAAAGCTACAGTGTTTGAGGCGTTCCCTTTGTTTAGTTTATTGTTGTTGTTGTTGTTGCCACTGGCTTTTAGGTGAATGGGGTTGGTCCACGCTGAAATGACACATATTTTCCGTCCTGTGGTGGAGAAGGAAACAATGCGGCCGGTTGTAAATATTGCGCAACAAAGCCACAGCTTGCGTGAGTGGCTTGATAAATGCACTCAGGTTTCTCCATGTTGGATCTGTCATGCCCTCTACTGGTCAGACTCTCTGAGCATGTTAGTGGTGGAGGTTCTCCGCGTGGTTCTTGAACTCTGTGTCTTGAAAAAAAATTTAAATTGCAGAAGGCAGCAAGCAAAAAACACAAGTATCTAGTAATGCCAAAGGGAGAATATGAAAGGCAAAAGTCTCCCCTGCCGTACTTCTCCATTTCCCTTATTAATAAACAATTATACTATTAGCTAAAAATATGTAACATAATAACTTTCATACATGTGCTTCAGAGATTTAGGAAACAAGATATATGCTTAAATAACCCATGGAAAGATAATTCTGTGTATCACTCTCGTGTTGTGCTTATTTGGGTCCATAAGATACCTTAGTTCCTAAGTTTGTAAAAGCGGCAAACCTGTTGCTTATCTGATGAAATCTGAAATTGGTAATCAGTTTAAAATAAAGCTAGGAAATTAAATGCCATGTGGCAAAGGGTATGGTGACTAATTAGGAAAAATGAAAATTTACGCGTCATGATTGTTGACCATATTTGAGAGAGAATGATACCTGTCTTGTTTTCCTGTTTTATCTCTTTTCCTCTCTTTCTTTCCTTTTTTTCATCATTTCTTCCTTTCTTTTCTTCTTTGTTGTCAGCATCATCTTATTTAACTTTAGTTGGTGAAATACTCTTTTAACAGAATGAATGTATACGTGATTTGGTCCTCTACTCTTCACCCCAAATATGGTCTGAGATCTAAAAACTCATCATTGCTGTCTTCCTTAGAATGTGATTGGCAGAACCAGAGCCGGTAAGGAAGTTAGTGTCTTCGTCAGGAATGCCCGCTGCTTGGTGCTGCTCTAAGGTGGTGACGGCTCCTTTCAGGTGGGCGGTTGGAGCGAATGCCGGCCCACTCAGGGCCGGGTCAGTCCTGGGAGCGTCAGGGCAGGCTCTGGCTCGGTTCTGGGGGTGGGGGGTGCACCGGGTCTGGGACAGCAGTGGGCTGGTGGCGGGCCCTCCCATCTGTGGTCCTCACCCTGGGAGAACTGCACAGGGCACTGACTGGACCCGGGTGCTGGGCCTTCACTGCCCCGGGCTCAGCCTCCTTCCTCGGGGGTCTGCTCATCCATCAGGACTTCCCCCAGGGTGCTTTTAAGAGAATCACTGGGAACAGCAGGGATGCCAGTTTTATGTTTTTCCTCAAAAAATGTCTTGGAAATGCCCGGTTCTTTACCTGCAAATCTTTTCATCAACTTTGGAAGACTGCTCTGCCGTCTCTACAGGGTGAATTCTCTCTCCATCAGATGTTTGGTGAAAATTTGTTTCTTTTTCTCAGTGTGGCTTGTACCTGTTCTTTTCTAATTGCATTCCCCTCCTTTCTGATTGTTGTGAAGGTCTCTCATTCGGAATCTTAGAGTCTTCCGGTGCATGGATCATCTGCCGTTTTGGGTACCTGAGTGTGCATTTGGCTCCCTGCTCCTCAAGAGTCATGCAGTGAACCCAAGGGGGGCCGGCAGCGCCGCCTGTCCCAGCCCAGCCTGGCTCAGCCGTGTTCACACCAGCACCACCGTCAGCTGGGTTCTTCAAAACCTCTGTCCGCATCTTCTTAGAAGTCTCCATTTTCTGATGCGTTTGCAATATCCAAGTTCAAGGTTCTACTATGTTGTCATCTTCACGTACAGCAGGCTGATCTCTCATCTTTAGCAACAATGGGACGTTCTTAACTACTTGGAACTTGTTAAGTACTCAGCAGAATCTCATTTCATTTAAACTATTTTTTTTTCCCGATTTTTGAGTTTGCTCACTCTTCCTTCCATTCTTTAGCTTCCTGTGAAAGCAGGTGCAGACTTACCAAAGGTGGGGCTTTTCACCGGAAGCATCTTTTCCACCTTGTGCCAACCTGCTCTTCACTTTTCTGATGTACTCGGAGGAATGTTTTGCTTGTAGCTACTTGAAATTGGATATGTCTTGATGTATCTTCCGAGGACTGAGTATTTCTTTTAATGTCAACTTGCTCTGTTTAGATTTCTCTTTTCTAAAAGTCTGTACTTGAAGTCCAAGCAAAGAATTAGAGATTTTCATCTTTTTATTAATGACCCCCAGTTTTTTTTCCCCCTGATAGTTTGTTTTTGAGTCTGGTTTTCATTAAAGTTGATTCAAGTCCTCAAAGTTCTTTTTGAGTGAGGTTACACTTGTCTAAAATTTGGTCTCTTTACTCCAGAAGGTCAGAACGTGAGTGCCCTCTCTACTTGCATAAGGTAGGTTTTTGATGATTTAAAATCTGTGGCCATAAATCACAGCATCTCCTACAGTGATCGGTGGGCCTCTGAGTCTGTTTTGTGCAAGTGAGCACAATTCTGGTCTCCAGAGCTGATGAAAACATCACTCAAAGGAAACTAAATAAAGTTTTTAATAATAAAGATGTAGACACCTTAAATAAAATGTTTCACACGGGTCCCACCAGTCAGCAGTTTAAAGTAAAGCAGGAACGCTGTGCCTGGTGAAATATGGAATTCTTGGCACCTGCAAGCGGCAAGAGGAGTTCCTTTTTACTTGTGCTAGGCAGAATTAAAGAAATTATATTGTAAGCTGCAGATTAGGTGGTGAGTGAGACCCACGG